TGTTATATAACTGTCAATTAGATCCAGATTATGATGGTGCTATTCAGTTCAGATATATCTTGATTGATTTTCTACCTGCTGGATCTGTCAATTACTAACTGAGGGGTGTTGAAGACCCCAACTATAACAGAGGATTTGTGTTTATTTCTCTTTACAGTTTTATCTGTTTTTGCATCATGTATTTTGACACTCTGTTGTGAGGTGCATACATAGAGTTGTCATATCTTCTTGAAGAGTTGTCCCCTTTATCATTATGTAATGCTCCTCTTTATCCCTGATAATTTCCTTGTTCTGAATTCTGCTTTGTCTGAAATTAAAATAGTTATTCCAGGTTTCTTTTGACTAGTGTTAGCATGGTACACCTTTCTCCATCCCTTTTAACCTACGTCTTTATAACTAAAGTGGGTTTCTTGTAAACAACACGTAGTTGGGTCCTGTATTTTATTCACTCTGTCAATTTGTCTTTTAATTGATGTATTTAGATCATTCACATTTAAAGTGATTATTGATGGAGCTGGGTTAATATCTACCACATATTGTTTTTTATTTGTTGCCCTGTTCTTTATTTCCTTTTGTGTCTTCCTCTCTTTTTCTGCTTCCTCTGGTTTCAATTAAGCATTTTATATGATTCCACTTTCTCTCATCTCTTAGCATATCGTTATACTTCTTTTTAAATTTTTTTTTAAGAATTGCCCCACAGTTTCCAGTATACATTTACAAATAATCTAAATCCACTTTCAAACAATGCTATACCTCTTCACAGGTAGTGCAGGTAATTTTTAATAGACTATTCCTAATTCCTCCCTCCTGTCCCTTATAACGTTGCTGTCATTCATTTCACTTACCGTAAGCTATAATCACCTAATACATTGTTACTATTATTATTTGAAAGTTGTCTATTAGATCAATTAAGAATAAAAAATAAAAGATCTTATTTTACCTTCATTTATTCCTTTTCTAATATTCTTCTTTTCTTTATCTATATCCAAGTTTCTGACCTATATCATTTTCATTCTCTACGAAGAACTTTTAATGTTTCTTCAAAGGCATACCTACTGGTGAAAAATTCACTCAATTTTTGTTTGTCTGAGAACATCTTTATTTCCTCTTCATTTTTAAAGGATAATCACACTGGATACAGAATTCTAGGTTAGTGGACACTTCTTTCAACACTTATTATCTCATTCCATTCTCTTTTTGTTTGCATGGTTTCTGAAGAGAAGTCTGATATAATTCTTACTCTTGCTCCTCTATAGGAAAGATATATTTTTTTCCTTTGGCTTCTTTCAATATTTTTTCTTTATCTAATTTTCTGCAATTTGTATATGATACGCCCACATGTAGATATTTTTATATTTATCCTGTTTGTTGTTCTCTGAGCTTCCTGAATCTGTGGTTTGTTATCTGTCATTAATTTTAGAAAATTCTCAGCCATTACTACTTCCAATATTTCTTCTACTCCTTTCTCTCTTGTCTTTCTCCTATTCCCATTACCTATATCTTTCAGCTTTTGTAACTGTCCCACAGTTTTTTGATATTCTGTTCCTTTTTTTAAGATAGTTTTCTCTTTACATTTAAGTTTGGGAAGTTTCTGTTGACATCTCTTCAAGCTCACTGATTGCTTCTCAGCTGTGAAAAGCATTCTCCTTTCTGTTGCAGTGTTTTTGCTTTCTAGCATTTTCTTGTGATTCTTAGAATTTTCATCTCTCTGCTCATATTACGCATCTGTTCTTGCATGTTGTCTACTTTTTCCAATAGAGCTCTTAACGTATTAACTATAGGTATTTTAAATTCCCATTCTGATCATTCCAAAATCTCTACCATATCTGAGTCTGGTTTCGATGCTTGCTTTATCTCTTCAGACTGTGTTTTTTCTTGCCTTTTAGCATACTTTGTAATTTTTTACAAGCCAGATAATGTATCAGATAATAAGAACTGAGGTAAGTAGGTCTTAGTGTGAGGTTTTATGTTTGTCTGGCCAGGAGTTAGGCTGTGTTTAATGTTTACTGTAGCTGCAGGTGTTACAGGCTTCAATTTCCTCTAATGTCCATCTTTTTGTCTCCCCTTTTGTCTTTGGGCTTTCTTGGATACTCCTTCTTAACAGTGTCTGTCTTCAGCTCTCTCAGTTGTAATCCAGTGTTATGGTACTGAAGCACTTTTAATGTGGTCAGAAGGTATTGGGGAGTGGAAGCATTCTATAATCTTATGATTAAATCTCCATTTTTAGTAAGCCAGAATCCCTGGGCTGTGACCTTCAGAAGAGTTTCTTAACCTTTTTTTCCCTCCCCTCCTGTGAGACAGAAAGGCTAGAAGGAGCTCAAGTTGTCTAATTGTTCTTCTTCTATGTCAGATGAAGCTCTGATAAGGAATTTTACCTTGAGGGGTAGCCTTTGTTTCAGAGAACAGAAGGCTTTGGATGTATTTCATAATGGTTACTTTTTCCCTTCCCTTGCCGGAAGCAAGAGAGAACTTTTCTCTGATCTTCACTGTGAGAACCTTGTGGGGCTCCTGAAGGTAAAAATCATTAAAGTGTGAGTGCTCCCCTCAGACTGGGTCCTGCTCCCCCAGAGTTTTCAACTCTCAATTTAGTCTACACTCAGTCTCCAGCAATTCACCAATTACTGCTTAAGTGCCCCCTACCACTTACTGGCTCCAACGGCTTCTACTCTCTCGCCACTTCTGTTGTACAGTAAGCTGTGATTCTCTGCATTCACCTGTCTCTTCAGTTTTCAGGGAGGTGATTTGCCCTGTGACCTCAATTCTCTGACAGATCTAAGAAGAGTTGCTGACTTTCAGTTTGTTCAGCTTTTTTCTTACTGTGATGACTGGAATGACAACTTCTAAGATCTTCAAATGTCATAGCAGAAACCAGAAGTCCTAATAATAATATTTTATATACATTGTATCTTTTGACCACATAAAAGGGTGAGGTACCCAGACCTTATTATTGACATTTTACACACAAGGAAACTGAAGTTTAGTGAGATTAAATGACTTTTCCGGAGACAAAAGGCTAGAAGGGAAAGCTACCCTGGATCCTCTAGTGCCTGCCAAGACTCTTTCAGTACAGATCTTTATGTTTAGGCATTAATGCATATGAAACAATTTGAGAGGAAAATTTTAGTTTAAGCAGAGGATCATCCATATTTGGTTTGGCTCTGTAATGTAAAAAGCGCGGGACTGGGATATCCCACAATAAATGTCCTGAAGTCTAACTCAGCCCCCAACTCACTTCTGGATTTTAAGGAATTCACAACAAGGTGATTCTCAGTTTCTCAATGTGCATCTGAAGCAAGAACAAACCACATGATCACTGAAGTCTCTTATAATCACAAAGTGAAATAGTTCTAGGTTGGATTTAGACCCTGTATTTTTGGGAGAGAGAGTGTGTGTATGTGCGTATCTGTGAGTGTGTATGTGTGGAAAGGAGAACTTATTTCTTCAAAATTTCTCTGAATTGCTAAATTAATCCCTCCCCTTAAGTGAAAAACCTTAGCTTCTTTAATTCTTTAAATGACATGATACTTTACCTTGCCATCTGCTTCTCGCATGCTACAGTTTGTGAATGTGAGTAATGTTTAAAGCAGGACTTCCCTCCAGGATATCTCATCTTTGGACAGTTCTTATGTTTTCTCTTGCTTGTAACTCCACAACCATTACCAACCACTGGATTGTCTCAGTTAAATGTCAGTTCCTGAGAGGGGCCTTCCTTGAACTCTTAGACTAGGACAGAACTCAGCGCTTCCCCTTTCTAAACTTATTAGTTCATGTCTGTGTCACTTGTTATTCTGGAATCTACATGAAGGTAGGACTCTGTATAGGTCACTGCTGCACTCCTAGGGCTAACAGTCCAGAAGAGCACTGTCCAAAAGAACTTTCTGCGATGACAGAAGTGTTCTATAATCTGCACATGCGGCTACTGAGCACTTGAAAAGCGTCCAGTACAAGTGAACTACTGGATTTTTTATTCTAATTTAAACTTAAATAGCCATATGCAGATAGTGGCTACATATCAGACAGCAGAGGACCAGAGCAATGTTTCTCAAAATCTAAATCAAGATGTCAGGAATCTGCATTTTAACCCACTCCCCAGGTGCTTCTGAACGGCAATAAAATTTGACAACTGTTGACCTAGAATGTGATTCTCAAGACTGGCTTCACCTTAGAATCAGCTGGAGGAGGTTTTTAAAAGAAAACAATTCCTAAGCCACATCCCCAGAGATTCTATTTCAATTGGTCTGGGGTGGGGTCCAGGTATTAGTATTTTAAAAATGGAACACAAAAAACCTCCCCCAGCTATGGTAATGTGTAGTCAAGCTTGAGAGGCCTAGAACATATGTTCTTATGTGGCACTCAGTCCATATTTGATAAATAAACAGATAAATGATCTAGGTGCATTTATAAAGAATTAGTGATTACAAGTGAAATCTTGTGATGTCACAAGAGATGTTAGCAACATTAGTGGTTCAGATGAATTTCTTGACACTCAGTTAAAAAAAAAAGAACTTGAGATAATCTTTTATAACGGTGTGAAGTTGCTCAGTCTTTTGTTTTATCCATAAGCAGCACAAACAATACTTAGCTCTGTGACGTTTGGAGAGGGTGACATGCTCAGAGTTCCCTGAACAATCACCTCTTAAAATACACAAAAGTCTTTCTGGTTTGCTGGTTGACAAAGGGCCTGATGACTCCTCATCGGAGGCACATGTCACGCGACCTGGGGCTCCCGCACTACAGCTGAAGGAAGGCGTTTCTCAACCTGCTGCCCACGGCAAGGCCGCCTTGTCTCCTTTGCTAGGGCCCTCCCTCCTCCTCCCGCCAGGTATGTAGGTAATTGCCCCCAGGGGGTAAAGGCTGGCCTGGCCGCCCAGACGAGCCAAGGAACGATGCCTCTGGGTCATGGGTACAACAGCCCTCCCTTCTCCTCCCGCTCGGTGCATAGGTAATTGTCCCAGCAGGAAGTAGATCTGCCAGGGAGCCCGGGCGGCAGGGGGAATCAGACGCGAATCCGCACGGCGCGGTGGAGGCGGATCGCCCGGATGCTGAGCAGGAGGGAGGTTCAGCCGCCAGCCCGCAGCGCAGTGAGTACAGCAACTCAAAGGAAACCCAGGTAGCTTTCCGGCGGAATATCATGATTTTCCAAAATGTGCTCATGGTTAAAAAGCAAAATCCAGGCTCAGAATAAGTATGTTCAAGCACTGCTAATTCTAGCCAAGACACTGGAAGAGCTCGCCAGGAAATTTGAGGAAATTAACATGAAACTAAAACTGAAATCGTAGTTGAAGTAGAACGAGCAGTATTGATCAGAACATACCAAATATTAACAAAAAAAAAAAGTCTGCATAGGAGTTTAAATTGCTAGGAGAAATTTCGAGGAAAAATATTTACTAATAAATGAAGCGAAAGTACTAAAATAAAATTGAATGTGTATACACTAATAAAATATCAGTGGACGCAAAAGTAAACGTTAAGAAACCACTTGTATTTAAAGTAGTTTGACACGTTTAACTCAACAGGTTTGCACTAGAAAGAATTGGGAGTAATGTGTTAGATAAAGCGATACTGATTTTCTTTTCCACAAAAATTTCATTGATTTAGAAAGAGGTAGATTCTTCCTTAAAGATAGTAAGTATTGCCAGTCTGCATAGAAATTAGATCACATGCTTTCTGAAATGTACCAGAGCTGTATACAGTAAACTTCATTTATCTTCAGGTAACAACTTTTAAGTGAATTAACACTGACTAAAGTTCATTCAGCGGTCAAAATGCAGTTCACACACTCTGATTAGCACTCCAAATTATTCTTTCTATAGGGTGAAATCTGAGAGGCTTAGGGCTGTCAATATTCTTTAATAGAGCTATCTTTTCACTAAAATAATTTGCCACTGTTGAAGGTTAGGCATTCTCTTATCAATGTGCTTATAAAGATTTTGTTTCACTTTGCTTATTTTAATTAAAACAGAAAAAAATTGGTTTCTTAGCTAACACCTAGCCATGTGTCTTTTTAGTCTCATGATATCCTTCCCAGAGACCTCCTGCCCTTGTGACTTATTGCGGCTCTAATGTCTTAACATCAATCCACCTGCTAGACCCTGTGAACCATTGCAAGGCTAAAACCTTCTTTCAGCCTAACAGTAAAGCTGTTACTATTTTTATTGAAATACTGTTACTGTGTCAGTGTTTAAACATGCCTCAGTGTCTCTTCCTCAACTACATCCCCATGGAGGATGTTGTCTTACCAGCAGAGTTTCTTGTTTGTTTTTTTAAAGAAAGCACACATATTACAAATAATTTTCCTTACTAAAATCTATTGAGCAATTTTAAAGTTATTCCTGTTTTCAGTTAAATTATCCATAATAATGCCAGAGAACATATATTGTAGGTAGTTGTATATTTAACATTCTCTGCAAGAACACACTTAAAAACAATACGTGGAAAAATGAAACACCTTTAAAGTAAGTATTTATCGTTGTAAAATAAAATAACAAGGAATGGTGATTACAGATGTATTTTATTCAATACATATCCACAAGAAGTTATCACTATAGCATTAAATTTGTAGAAAAATTTAAAAACTGGATTATCCTCCATTCCATTCCAGAGGACTTAGATGGTGAAGTGAACCCAAAGGTCAATGTGCAAAATATGAATTCAGGATGGTATTGTGGGAAGACTCTGGTTACCTCTGTGACCAAATAACTCTTTTGTGTTATTTTTTTCTCATGTAGTTTGTACAGCTAAAAAGATGAATTGTGTTCAGTAGCCTTTTCCAAATGTTATCTTATGAAAAATGTCTGGTTCTTGACTATTTGTGGGATTGGTCCATTTCTTGATAAGGAAACCAGAACTTTTTAATAAGCTTAGCAGTGTTGTCCAATAGAACTTTCTATAATGATGATAATGTTCTATAATCTGCACTGTCCAGTATGGTAACTACTGCCTATATGTGGCTAATGAGCATTTGAAATGTGGTTAGTGTAGCTGGGGAACTGAATTTTTTTTTTCTTTTACTTAATTTTAATGAAAATTTTGTTCTCCATGTGTGGCTAGTGGCTACCAGATTGCACAGAGAGCTGACTGGCTGCCTTACGTTGTTCTGCTGGCTGGCTGGTAGTATTGTGACACACCACTGCTAATCTGATAGTTCAGGAGATTCCTGAAGAGATTCTTCAAGAATCTAAATCTTGAATAGATTTAGGACATTCTCGAAGAGCTCTTTAGGAGATTCTTCCAGCTGATCAGTTTTTTAAGAAGTCATAAAGGTATAGGGTTTCATGAACTATTTAAACTAATCCCCACTGTGGGAGTACTACTGATGAGGAAAAGTGCCTTTACCTCTAGAGGATCCTGAGTATGTAGCAGCAATACAACCTAAATGTGCCCTTAAGCTCATGTCTGAAATATAACAACAGCTTTTACTTGTAAGGCACTGATGGTTCTGAAAGTCCTCACACATACTCTCTCATGTGAGTGTCATGACAACCAATCGAAGTCAACAGAGGCCTAGTCCACAAGTCTGTTTATTATACTGGTCCATCTACACGGGAATTTTTTTTATAATACAATAAAAATTGTATCCAGACCTTGGAAGAAGTAAGTTTTTCAAGCTCTTAAGACAAAGTTTGTTTGTTTTAATTGTAGGTTAGTGATCAAATGGTGTTGATAAAATAAATGAAAAAATGAATGAATGAACATGGAGTGTAAACATAATACATAATTTCATAATGTCCTAGCTCTTTGTCTGGAAGAAGGTATCTTAGCATACTTTTGAAAAACTCAATAAATATCATGTATTAATCACAATTTGTTCACAGATTCACAGCTTCTTAATAGTTTCATTTTTATTTCTTTTATTTCAGAAGCTCCTGAAAAGTACATCAAGTCTAAAGTGAACCAGCTTGCTCTCAGGCAGTGCTGGAACCATGAGCAATAATGGAACAGACTTAACCATTGGCTTCCTCTCCTCTTCTGTTGCCGTACTTTTATTTGGCTCAAACTATGTACCACTTAAAAAATATGATACTGGTGATGGTAATTATTTTTCCTTCATTGCTAGCCTTAAATTATTTTTAAATATGAAGTTCTCTTTTTTGGTCTTTTTTGTAATGATGGCTACAAAAGTAAATTTTGTTGAACCTGGTGCCAAATGAATAGAGCTTAAAATAAATCATTTAATAATGGCCATGCCAGTTTATCCAAGAGTTAGTCAGTATAGGATAACCTTAAGATTGTGTTTCATGGTAAAACTAAGATGGATACTGTCAGGAAAGCTTTTTAGCCATATCTGTTACATTTACAAAAAAAGGAAGTTAGTTCTAATCACAGTTGTTTTGAAAACAGAAATTTCCAACTGAATTGATATAATGGAGAACAATTTGAGCATAACACGCGTTTTGTGTTTGCTTATGTGCAATGTTGACTCTGACAGAACACTAGGTGAACACAGGAAACTGCACCCAGATGGATAAAGGTTCATAGTAATAAACAAAATGTGCTCACACCCCCCTTTAAACATCCACCAGCTCAGCACCACACCCATCCACATCAGCTGTTAGAACCCTCCATCCACCAACTTCACAGTAGCACTGGAAGCTGCAACACTTCCAATGCCCACTTCCATAAGCAAACTTCAGGTCTTTTTCAAGTTAAAGTGCCATATTTATTGTAGCAATTGTGAATTTCTTAACCACTTAACCGGTGTAAAACCGTACTACCATTTTTATTAGGTTTCTGGGTTTTTTTAATACATTGTTGATGAAGTTTTTGTGTGGTGCTCTTAGCCCCATTTTCCCCATAAGCTCTGCAGTTTTGTTGCATGATTTTGCACAGTACAGTGATTTTTACGAATGCACATGTCACATTATAGTAGACCTGACTGTAATGTGAATTTTAGGGAAGGGGAAGCAACAGTTCTTTTTTGTATCTACCCGCATTTCATATTAGAGCCAGGAGAAGGAATTGGAGACCTTGTGGTGAACACCTCTTGGGAAGAAGTTGCGTTATCACCCCAATTCGTTATGTCTTGATACGACTTAGACAATAGAATTACAAATCTTTTTCCTCCAGAGCCTTTCTTCTCCTTTCCTTTGGAGTTAGGACAGGAATGGAAACTACTAAAAGAAGAATAGAAAACATATTAAGGGGTCGAGGACTTGGCTTTTAGGTATTTCGCAACAACTGTGTGATCCTGGGCAAGTCTTACCAGCTCTTTTGTTCTCGGTTTCTCATTTGTAAAATGAGGAAGTTGTAAAATGAAGTTTCCTGTCATCTCTATGATCCTACTTTTTTGTCTTGCAGGTTAACAGCCATTTTTTTTTTCTCTCTTCCATCACAAGATTGAATAGAAATAGGCAAAAATCTTCCCAAGTTAGAGTCACAAGTGCTACATTGAGTTATAACTGCCGTAGTATTTCTTACATTATTGACTTTTTCTTTGTCCTTTTAATCCCTAAACCTTTGATGGTGCAGAAGCTTAGAAAGGTAAGGTATACCTCACATCACCATGTGGTCTTCAGATAACTGGCACATGGCATAGAAAGCCCTGACCTAGAGCATAGAAAGGAAAGTAGCCCTGACCTAGAAGGCTAATCCTCAGGTTTGTAATGTCTGGCTCATCACAGGCATTCAGCTCTAACTGTATGCGGTCTACATGTGGCCATAGATGACTTTATTTTTATCCTAAAGGTGGCATAAATGATCCTCAAAAGTTTAAATCACTGTTGAGCTCTTTTGAAGTTCTTAATACCATATTTTTGGTGAGGGATGGCACTAGGTGTGACATCTGAATAAAAATATGTAAACTTGGTCTTTCCAGTACTCTAGTAGAAAATTCTTGATTTGTCTAGTAGATGAAAAAAAGGATGTTAAATAGGAATGTACTGTATATAGTAAGCTTTCGAGACAAGCAACTTGGGTTTAAATTCCAGTTCTACAAACTGTTAGCTGTTTGGACAAGTTGCTTCATCTCAGATTCATTTTCTCTATCTTTGAACTAGAATTAATTATGATGGAGAGAATTTTGTAAGAATTACATTAAATGTGCAAAGTGCTTGGCATATAGGCATTCAATAAATTGTGGCCATTCGTATAATAATATCTCATTGATATTCCTAAGCATTAATTTACTCAACTCAATTGGTATAATCTGATGTCAGTCAACTGACACCAATTTCTTTTATTTCCAGGAATGTTTCTCCAGTGGATACTTTGTGCTGCCATATGGTTGGTTGCCTTGGTGGTCAATCTTTTATTACGTTGCCCTAAGTTTTGGCCTTTTGCAATGGTTGGGGGCTGCATATGGGCAACAGGTAATGTATGATATAATTTATTCTTTTATCATTTAATACTTTAATCAAAATAATTCTGGTTCATAATAGAAGGAAATAGCACAAACAGCAATTCTGAATAATCCTTAGTCATAGATACTAGAAATTAACAATTTAGTTTCTTTCATTCAGATGCTCCGTAAGTGTTTTTGGTGCATTTCCTGAGTCTTTCCTTTCAATCATTTCTATCTTAGTTCCTGATAGAAAAATTAATTTAGCAAAAATGTTTCAATTGTTCTCTATCTGTTTAAGCATAACTCATATATTAAAGTGCTCTGGCCTTTCTTTCTCTAGCATGTTTTTCAGAAAATATTTATTAAATAGTAGTTTCTACTAATAGCATTTTTAGGACTTGTCCTTAAAAGTAGGCAAACACAGACACATTATCATTTCAAAAGCACTGGCAGGAAAACAAAAGCAAACAGAAATCTTCCGTCTATTGCCTTATCCCTGAAATTATATAACTAGAATTTATGCCTTTGCTTGGCCAATCAGGAATGTTTTCCTTCTATTAATATAAATACACCCCAGGAGAGCTTTCTTCTCTTTAGCAAAGAGAATTCCAAATATCAAGTTAGAGGTAATTTGGTTAAAAGCAGATAAATTTTAAAATGTTAAAAATTTATTGGTTACCCACTTAATTTGAATCTCTGCAGAACTGAATGATTTAGTGAAGTTCATGAGTTGGAGGACAAAAGGGTGAACTTTTAAATTTCCACTAGCATTTCAATTATTATGCCTCACTTATACCTTAGTATGATTATGCTTATCATGTCTAATAGGGAGAGGGGAAAAGAGAAAGCATCCATTGGTCCTGCAGGTCTTGATAACCACCATATAGCGTTTATATTCACCCAGCAAATTCCACTGGGAGTCAGTGGGGAAGGGTCTAATTTGAGAAATGTTGTGAGTGAGGATGCTATGGGTCATAGTAACTGATTGGATATGAGGAATAGAGGAAAGGGAGGAGCCGATGATGATATAGGGATTTTATCATCATAGGTGATTAGGAGGGTGGTGGTGGTATCATTGATATGTATGAGGAAAATAGAGAAAAGAACGTGTTTGTAAGGGAAAATGATAAGTTCATCTTAGGACTTTCCGTGTTTGAGGTTCCTGATGTTCCCACAGTGGGGGACATCTGGTTGGAGATCTCTTATTGGCAGTTTGGAGCATAGCACTAAAGCTCTGGAGAAGGTCCAAGTTAGAGCTATAGCACTGGGAGCATGTGTCTCTAGTTGATAGATGAAATCATGAAATTAGTCAAGTACCCAAAGACAAATATAGCAAGAGAAGGAATGTGTTCTAGGGAAAATATTTAGGGGGCACCTGAATCCAGAGGTATAATGAGAAAGATCAAGCCAGAGAAAGAGCTAAAGAGAGAAAAAGGAGGGGGGCCGGCCCCATGGTGTAGTGGTTAAGTTTGGCACGCTCCACTTTGGCGGTCCGGGGTTTGTGGGTTCGGATCCTGGGCGTGGACCTACACCACTTGTCAGCCATGCTGAGGCAGCGTCCTACATACAAAATAGAGGAAGACTGGCACGGATGTTAGCTCAGGGTGAGGGCAAATCTTCCTCACCAAAAAAAAAAGGGAGAGAAACAGGAAGGAATCAGGAGATGGAGGCATCTCGGAAGCCAAGAGAAGAAACCTTTCAAGAGGAGATTGCAAGATTGAGGCCAGACTGCCAAGCAGCTAAGAATTGTAAAAAACAGTCACGGTTTTGCCCTGAGTGACCCTCAAGAGCACAAAGCGTGAATGTGGAATTCCAGAAGACAAGTCAGTGAGCAGGGAAGAGCAAAGTCTGGGGTGGTATTAGGCCAGAAACTTCTACCAGTGGTTGGCCCTGGTTCGAGTCTAAGAAGATGGTCACTACTAATTTTATCATTGATGGCTTCTGCAAAAAGTCATAGAACAGAGACCTATGTTAAGAATGAGGAGAATTAGTGTGTTTAGGCAAGGAGCTAACTCAACATTTTCCTTTGTAGGATTTTGCCCTAAGCCTAGTGCTTTTGGCAATAGTAATCATGAGTTTAATGCCAAAAAATGTGGTTATTTTATTTAAAAAATGAGGAGTTGTGCTTTACTAAATTTGTCCAAATCCCATAACCTTCAGTTGAAGTTAAAATAAAAATTAATTCAATTTATAAATGTATATTCTATAGTGGAAATAACACCTTTCTTCTGTATGTTACATCTACAGGGAATATTGCTGCTGTCACAATTATCAAAACCATTGGTTTAGGCCTTGGAATCTTAATCTGGGGGTCATTTAATGCCTTAACTGGCTGGGCAAGCTCAAGGTAACACAAAGCAAACTATTTCAACTAAGATTCTCTGCACTCATACTCTATGTAAGGCAAGTGCTAGGGATTGGGCTAGCTGAGAAGAATAACATATGGTTCTTACCCTCACAGAGATTACAGCTGGTAAGACATGCATAAAATGTGCTACCTTTAATTATTATTTGCCCTAAGTTATAATATCTGATCTAGATATTTGATCAAGATATAGCAAAGAATTATCTCTAGGGAATGGAAGTAGGGAGAGAGCAAGGGAACTGATGTTTATTTTCTTTTTCTATTATGTGACAATTTGCTGGACGTGTTATATGCATCATTCTGATCTCATTTTCACAAATATATGAGGCAAGCACCATCTTACAAGAGATCTGATACACAAAGAGATTGAGTAACTTGCTGAAGGTCACAGAGCTAATACTCAAGGTCAGGATTCAAATCCAGGTCTTCTAGTTCTGAAGCACATATTCTTCCCTCTAGAGGCTGGGCCAGGGTCGGCAAACTATGGCCCAGCTTCCCAGCTATTTTTGTAAAGGAAGTGTTATTGGAACACAGCCAGCTCATCCATTTAAGTATTGTGTATGGCTGCTTTCACATTTCAGTGGCAGAGTTGAGCAGTGGCAAGAGACCATCTGGCCAATAAAGCCTAAAATATTTACTCTCTGGCCCTTTAAGGAAGAGTTTACCAACCCCAGCTCTAGAGCTGGGCTTCCAATAGGGTTGCCACAAGCCACATGTGGCCATTTATGTTTAAATTGAAATTAATTAAAATTTGATAAAATTAAACATTCAGTTCCACAGTGGCACTGGCCATATATCAAGTACTCAACAGCCATATCTGGCTAGAAGTTACACTACTGTACGGTGCAGGTGTGGAAGAGCCCCTCATCGCAGACAGTTCTGTTGGACTGCACTGCCCTTGATCAGCATTAAGATTAACATTCAAGTCGAGTTTGGGCAAAGGCACGGAAGGGAGGATGTTACTCTTACCCTACTTTTTGGGCTCCTCTTCCCACTTAAAGCACTACACCAACCTAGTAATAACAAAACGAACCTCCCATCCATTTCTTCCTGTTGTTTCCTCATTCCTGCCCTGCTTTCTACAAGGCTATTTTCTTTTTCTTTTTCTCCTTGCCTCCTTTTCTCTTGCCCCTGGATGGTTCACAGTGATTGCTGGTAATGATCACTACAATATCAAGGTATGAAAAAAAAAAAAAAGAAATTTAAGATGGTGTCAAAGAGTAGGGATCTTTAACTAAGCAGTTATTTAAAAGTCTCTTTCAAATACTATACAAAATGGAAGCCAAGGAATGGAAATTGAGCATTTAATTACCCTCTTAGTCTATTTTTTTCTTCCTTCTTCCTTAGTCTTAATAAGAAAGGGACACTCACAAGTACTTTTGCATATACTAACTCGTTTAATCTTCATAAGAAACCTGTAAGGTAGGTGTAATCATCCCCATTTTAAACATGGGAAATTGAGGCCCAGTGAAGAAAGTTAACTTATCCAAGTCACAGTTAGTAAGTGAAGGACCTAGGATTTGAACCCAGGAATCTGACCCTGAGTTCCTGCCCTTAACCACTATGATGAACACATTTTCAACAATATCTGCTTTGATGTGACTTTCTCAATTTCCAGGTTTGGCTGGTTTGGAATGGATGCAGAAGAAGTATCAAAACCGCTGCTAAATTACATTGGAGCTGGGCTCTCGGTATTAAGGTACACGGCCATTTCTAATGATCGAGCTTTTCTTCCAAACATTTAGAGTACTTTTTAAAGATCCTGATGTGTTGACATTTTTTTAAACCCAAATTTCATAAAACCAACATGATTTTTCCTCAGATTCCTCATTTACATGGAAAGACTTGGCTTTAGAGGACAAAAAATGCCAGCTCTGGGGTCAGGAGCCCCAGCTTTAGCTCTCGAAAGCGCTGAGACCCTGGGAAAGTCATTTAGCTGCTTTGAAGCTCACTTTCATTGTCTGTAATATTTAGAAAATCATGATACATAGCACATAAATCAGAATCAAATACACGTTAACATCTTTTGCAAACTAAAAAACGCTGCATAAATAAATGTTATGTTGGCTTCCTGATGCCCCTGGAATAGCCACTGATTCTCTCTTATTACTCCCTTCCTCTTTGCCACCTAGTTTCCATTTTCCTGTCACCTCACTCAACTCTTCTTATCCCGATGAGATAACCACTCTCTCACCTATGAAAACACACACTCATTTAAATGCCTATTTTTGGATGTATCTGTACCTAGTTGTATGCACTAAATGAATGAGGGTGAAAACGACTTTGAATCTCTGTATGGCAGTGTTCAGTCAATAAAACTAACAAGAATTAGGTCACCTTAAATTCAGTCCCCTCTCCTCTCTAGACTCCATTTATATTCCCTGTCAGTGCTTCACATAATGGATAGTGCTGCCTGGAAAGATTTTAGTAGTTTTTTATTCTTCAGGGAAAGAGCACTATATTTCTCTTCCTCCTGCAATGATGGCTTTTCCCCAGCCACATTCAGGAACAATCTCTTTGTCATTGAAATGTTGCCATAGAGAGTGGTTCCAGGCCAATTGGAGAAGAAATAACATAGATTATTCTAAAATAGCAGATTCCTGACATTTTTGGTTAGAGGCAATATTATGTGTTTTATATAATTCACGCAGCATTCTAGCTTTGAATAGCTCCCTCAAAAACAATTTCTTTACACCCCAAAATTGTAACGTAGCATGTCTTAGTTTTGACTTAATGGTAATTTAAGGCTGATTTACCCAGTCAATCAGGCATTGTTTTTCCCCATATTTCTTCTTTCTTTAGAAAGTATACATTCTCTAAAATTGCAAATTATTCATGTTCTACCCCTTCTACCTCTGTGACATTGGGAAAATCACTTAATTTCTCCAAGCTTGGGTTTCTTCATCTGGGGATAAAGTGGGGATAATAATTGTACCAGCCTCATAAGATATTTTGAGGATTAAGTGAAATAAAATATGTTAAGTGCTTTGTATGTGTGTATGTATGTATGTGTACACACATGGCTCATGCTCTATATGTTGTGTATTTTCATTATGATAATGATTTTTATTAATAACTATTTCATGTTCAATTACTGTTTCACCTTTTGGTCATGTGTTGTCTAACTCTATGGTAAACTGGTCATTGCCCCTTGGGGAACCATGAAGCTTGGTTTGGAGCCTGATCTTTGGCAGGGAAATGCAATGATGTCTTCCTGGAGTGCATCCCAGCTCCCTTCTATGTTTCTTTACTGAGATGGATTTCTGGAACCTTTCATTTCATTATTTTAACTCAATTAAATCAGTTTCTTCTGAAGGGTATTCATTGAATAAACTTGGAGTTTCATGATCCTTATAAGGAAATGGAATATGGTTACCTTGGTTTGTTGCTTTTCTTTTTAAAATTGATATTATTGCTCCTATCCTCCATACAGAGCAGTTTTTAAAAGATTCGTTAGGTCATTTCTAGCCTGACATTTTCCGTATGTGATATCTAGGGTAAGTATCAGTCTCTACAACCAAAACCACTCTAGGTATTTTATTATTATTATTATTATTATTATTATTATTATTATTATTATTATTATTATTGTGTGTGTGAGGAAGATCAGCCCTGAGCTAACATGCATGCCAATCCTCCTCTTTTTGCTGAGGAAGACCAGCCCTGCGCTAACATCTATTGCCAATCCTCCTCCTTTTTTTCCCTTTTTCTCCCCAAAGCCCCAGTAGATAGTTGTATGTCATAGTTGCACATCCTTCTAGTTGCTATATGTGGGACGCGGCCTCAGCATAGCGGGAGAAGCAGTGTGTGGGTGCGCGCCAAATCGAAGCCGGGCTGCCAGTAGCAGAGCATGCACACTTAACCGCTAAGCCACGGGGCCGGCCCCCACTCTAGATATTTTAAACAGCAGAGGATTTAACACAGGAAATTGTTTGCAAAAGTGTTATAAGGCCCAATGGAGCAAAAGGAGGAGGGTGGCATCACTCAAAGCCCTAGAGCCCACATGCCCGCTGGCACTGCCCTGAGCTACACGCTGCTGAAACTACTGGACCTGCCACCAAAATAAATGGCTCCTCCCCCCTTTTAATCTTATGCATATGCCTCCCAGTGGCAACACCTAGCTGCCAATACAGTTTGGGAAAACTCAGTTTTCAGTCTTATAGGCCACTTGGTTCAGAAGAGAATATATAAAGGTGGAAATGGAGCTGACCCCGTGAGACAATGTCCAGGACACTCTTAAACGTGATCTCCCGAATCCAGGAATTGGAGTTCATAAACAGGCAGATTTCCTTTTCAATTAAGAAAAATGTTATGGATTATCCTTGAGTCTGCTCTCCATTCTTTTCTCTTCTCACTTAACTTGCTTTCTCTGGAGAGTTGTGTTCTGAGGAAACCCAAATCTTTGTTTCTGGGCGTTACCTTTCTCCAGAGCCACAGTCCTTACCTCTAACTACAGACCAGGCTAGACATCTCTATGTGGATGTTCCCCCAAGCACCTCCACCCAATCTGAGGTGAGATAACGTGGGAGGGGACCCTGCTGGGGCAGGCACATAGTCAGCATGCCACAAACGCTAGGCTGTTACTTTCTTCCTCTCTGCCTTCGACATTTCCCAATCAGATTTACTTTTCTTATTTTACCCTTCCCTGCAAACTGGTTCCTCTTCCTGCATTTCTTCTCTCCATAAAAGGTATTAGCCACAGTCATTCAAATTCAAAACCTCAGTCATCTTGAATTTTTTTCCTTTATACCCCACCCTATATTTAATCCTGTAAAATTCTCTCTGAATGTTTCACAAGTTCCTCCTCTCCTTTCCCTTGGTCCCTTACTACCTACCCACTTGTATACGTTTATAAAAATCTCACATCTAATTTCCCCAGTTCCAGTCTTTCCTTTTGCCAGTATGACTTGCTTGTATCTGCTGTCAAATCAGATCATCACTCTTTGATTTAAGAGCTTCTGAAGGCTCCCCATTGGATTCAGAATAAATCATCTCCTTAATCTGGCATGTCCTCCACAGTTATAGATTTAGCCCTTGTTCCTAAACGTCTTTCTCTTCGTATTGTCAATTCATTGACCCGGGATTATTTATCACACCATACCCCAGACACTTCCCTCAGCCCAAAAGGCCCTTTCCTCAGCCTCCTTGGCCACCCTTAAATATCAATTGAAATTTTCCACCCCATGTGATGTTTTATTGATTTCCTTCTTCCTAATTAGAATGAGTCACCCCTAAAATTCCATTGCATTTTGTTCTTCATCTATTATTGAAATTCTCAGGGTCTGTTTTGTATTATTCATACAATGCTTTTTATCCTTGAACTATGAGAACCTGAAGGACAAGGTTCATTGCTTTCTTTATACACCATCCCTCCCACCATCCTCATCAGACTTTGCTACACCGGACTTGACACATAATACATGCTCAATAAATGCTTGTTGAGTTCAGTTGTCAGTGTAAACACACACACACACCTGAGTTTTACTAATAATAAGTTGTGTAGGGTTGCAAATCTAGTAAAACTGGATAGGTTGAAATGTTGAGAAGTACCCTTGGGTATAACATTGGTGTGTTTTTTTTGTTTCCTATGCTTTTGACAGCATTCATAGACTTTATCGTGGAACTTTGTGTTTGACACACTGTACCAAGTTCTTTAAGTCTGTAGCCCAAAGACCTTGTGATCTATTTGGTTTTATGTTCATATACAAGAGGATAAATCTCATTACCTTGTCCTAACTTAGTGCCACCACACCCACTCTTGACCTAATGGGCTGGGATTCTTCTTTCTGACTTACCTATTTTGTGAGTAGCACTAGTCACACAGGCTCAAAAACACTGAGTTCTTTGTCCTAATTTCTTTCACATGCTCAGCACCCTCCTCTGCCATCCAGTTTATAGTGAAGGCTCTCTATTTGCTAACACATTTTGAGACTTTACTATGTGCCAAAAAGTACACTGAGAATTTTGTGTGCATTATTATTTAATTCTCATCACAGCTCTATAAAGTGGGTATATATCTCCATTTTTCTAGATGAAAAAAGTTGAGGCTCAGAGAGATTAAATGATTTGTCAGAGGGTCATACAGTTGTTTGAATAAACACTCAAAGACCTTTATCTGTATCTATCAAGTATTTCTAACATATCATCCTGTATTATTAGAAAACCACACTGGTCTATACAAACTAGAAGGTTTTCATTGTAACTTGGAGAAGAAAATGCAATTGCAATGTCTAATGTTAGCTTTGCAAATTAACGTGTATATAAGCACACACACACATATTTAACTAATTAGACATACAGGTATAATTAGGTTTTTGCATTCAGTTTTACTGAATGTTAAGTACTTTGAGGACCCTGAAGGAGATATAAGATGTGGTTCCTATCTTCCATTGAATTAGAAAATCTTTAGAGAAAAAAGATTACATGGACTTGTGGCAAATGGTCTGGATGGTGTGATGACTATTCTCAGTGTTGTGGGAATTCAGAGAAGATTTGATGAGGACTGGCTTGGGGGGACGTTCTCCTCACATTCAGCGCTTCAATTTTTCTTTAGTTTGGGCAAGAACAGGAGAGTACACAGTGTGTGCAGCTAAGGAAGAAGCACAAACAAGAACAGACAGTTGTGAAAGATTGGGAATGGAGGAGAGCTTGAGGCAGGGATTAGTCAGAAACAGAAGTCCATGTGGGGAATTATGTTGAGATAGGTTGGGTGGAGCAGAATGCAGAGAGAAATAAAAATCAAAAAGGAAAGTGAAATTTCCTGTGGGAGGGAGTATGGAGTCATTAGAGTTTTTAAAGCAAATAAGACACTAAACTAAGGAAGCTAACTAGGAAATTTTAAATTTTTATACAAGAGATAGCATATCATATACACTATTCTACACTTGGCTACCTACTTTATTTCAGCCTCATATGTACTTTGAGGCTTCTTATACTGTTTTAACTTTCAAACCACACAAACATATTAAAAAAGGAACATCAAAAGTATGCCAAAGTTGTTAATTTAATATTTTAATACAATTTAACATATTTGCATGGTTCAAAAGTCAATAGTAAGTGACGCATTTGTTACGAAGATACTGGACATGAACAGACAGTGCATTATGAAAGAGATATTAAAGGTGAAAAATTCGTTAGGCTTGTGTGTGTGTTTTTATCTCTTAAAATATACTCTGGAGATCTTTCCGTCTCAGGGCATAGAGGGCATCCTCATTCCTTTTTTACAGCTGTGTAGTATTCCATTGTGTGACTATGAAGTATTCCATTGTGTGACTATAACACAAGTACACCTCACCTGAGTGTGGGTGTACTTGTGTTATAGGGCGTGGAGCGGGGTTTGTAGGTCAGGAGTAGACACACCTGTGGCTTCGGTAGATGGTCCCAGAGTCTCCTCTGTAGGGGTCATACACTTCTGCACTCACATCAGTGGTGTCTGTCTCCTATAGTTTGTCCAACTGAGGATGTTGTTAAACTTTTGGAGTTTTGTCAATAAAATAGGTGAGAAATATTATTTCAAGGTAGTGTTTGTTCGTATTTTTTGCCGTGTGATTTCAGGGTTAAGCAGGAATAGAAAGAAAGATGGGGCCATTGACTGAAACAAAAAAATCCAGAGAAAGATCTGTTTTGGGTGGAAAGCTTATGACTTTAGCTTTAACCTGTTGCAGTTAAGCACAATGAGAGACATCAAAGAGAATGACGGTACTGGAGAAATGGCAGGACCCCTGAAGAGGCAGTTTAGAAGTAATCATGATATCATTAGGACTTGATTTAAGCTGTGTTTTCTCTTAAAATTCAGGCAACTTGATATGAACCAGGGTTATGATAAATATAACTAAAATTTATTTTCTTTACAGTGCTTTCATATTTTTGTTCATCAAAACTGAAATACCAAATAACACGTATTCTGTGAACACCACAGCATTATTGTCAGAGCATGTGAGTATACTATGAGAGAGAACTTGATTTGAAACATAAAATGAAAATAAAAGAAAAATGCATAGATTTGAAACACAGACGAGAAGGTGGTGTTCTTGTTTTTCAGCCAGGGCTATCTAAAATATCTTAGCATATTTATTATGGCTGGGTCTATGTAGCAGTCAATCAATATTTCCACAGTAAATCTTCTCAGCAAACACAGAGCTCTATTTATTTTTACTAACAGTAGATCCCTAAAAGGAGATGCATATACAAGCCCATATTTTGGAATGACTTAAGGGTTTCTGCAGTAGGGCAACCCCAAATACTGAAGAAGAATATGAAAGTTACTTTGGAAAGGAGGAGGAAGGAGGTTTTAAAGTAGGCTCGGGAGGACAGGAGAGAGTAGATCAGAAGAAGCCAATGAAAGGGTAAATCAAGTCAAATGAAATAGGAATTGGACTTGAATTTCTTCCTATTTCTCTTTTCTGCCATATCCTATTCCTCTCAAAGGTAAAGACAAGCCATATATAAGGAGTCACCGTTCTGATCTTGGAGAACCTACGTTAGTCTGGAATAGCAAATCTAGATTAAAAAGGGACAACCTTTAAAAGAGATCTGACACATCACAAGTGCCAGTGGCTCCATATACTAAAGTGATTTCAGGGCAAAGCCCCCTGGCCCTGAGCCCAGACTCTATTCCTTCCTATTTTAAGTATCTCTTCTACCAGCCATTGGCCCAGTGCCCTTAGCTGCCCTCTGAATCTGGCGTCCCACACCCGCACTGAGGTGTTGCTCCCTGGAAGGTGCTGCCTTGACTCCTTACTTCAAAATTAATCTCCCTTCCTTCCTCCCCTATCAAAACTCCTATCAACTACAGTGAGTGAAACATTGACACTAAAGTTAAATAATAATTAGCTTAAGTGTAAGAGAAAAGAGATTTATTACTCCATAGGCATCTCTAATCAGGGAATGTTTCAGAGAGAATGGAGGATTTGGGACTGGAAGAAGCTATCTGGTGTCCCTTGCCTACTTTAAGGATCCAGATACCGCCCAACCAACCACCCTTCAAACAAAGGGCCAAAAAGGAAAATAGAGTGAATGCAACTTGGTAAAAGATACATAGCAGGACAACTGCCTTAGATTTTTCTTGACAAGATGGAAGGATATAAGCAAACTAAGTGTAAAGATACGTAAACAGCATGATTGTTTAGTGAACCAATACATGAACCATACATCCTGAGCTCCTCATCGTGAAAGAAAGCATTATTGCCAAAGGAAAACTTGACTTAGCACATGACAAAGAATTCGAATCTATTTTCCTATCTCTTACAAAAGCAGTAGGAGTATAACGTCAAGGAAACTTCAGCTAAGACACAAAGATGATAAAGATGATTACATTCAATAGTAGAAATATTGTGAATTTGCTCATAATTTTTTCTGACTTAGAATATTAGCCTAATCTTGTAACATGACTAGAAATGTTTTATTAACTAATTCAGTAAAAAAAAAAAATCTGAATAAAAAATGCCTGTTGATCTTAGGCATTCCATAGTAGAAGAGTCTGAGTTTTCCTTGGTTCTAATTTCTCTGTGGATTATTAAAATAGGCAAATGAAACACAAGCGTTAGTAACTTTGTGAGTTTTGATAGGTGTATCAAAACAGCCATATATTAAACTGTGAAAAAATTTAAACAGAAGTTGCCAACTGCCAAACCATTCTGACTGAAAGAGGAACAGAATCAGAAACATTTGGGTCTAGAGATATCCACAGAATCAGAATGCAGAGTGTGACATGTTCATGTTTTAAAGTATGTTTGAGAGAGAACAGAAAAACGCTGACAATCTTTTTGTCACCAGTGTGATTATCAATTGAATTTTGTTTTGTTTCGGTTTCTGCCAATGTTTTCAATAGATGATCAACAATGCTGAAGATCCCTGTCCTGATTATTCCTGGGTGGATAAACTTTCTACAGTGCAACACCGCATCGTGTAAGAAGAGGTTCTGTTATTCTGTTTCATATTTGGTTAAAGCAAGGATTACCAGAGTGAAGTGATATTCATCTGAGTTCAAGAAGAAAATGGTAACCCAAACTTGACTTCCTGAGCTCCATGGTGGAGAGGCTTTCTTGTCCCCTGCTGAATTTTTAGGTGCAGGATCCCTGGTCTCAGTGCTTCAAGGAATTCCTAAGCCACAGCAGTACCTCTAGCCAATAAGTAGCTGACACAAGCAGTCTCATTTTGCAGGACTTTTGTGCCTAAAGAAAAAGAAGTAGGAGAGCCCACAGAGTATAATGACCAACATGCTCTGAGCAATCACAATCGAACTAGGCAAGACGCTTCTTGAGTATTGCACTGTCCAAGATGCCCACTGGAAATCCCTCCACTCACGTGTTAGACGATTTTATAATCCCAAGATATTCATTGTCAAATATAGTAGAATATTTTGTGTCCATGTAGGTCCTACCCCCTACTGTCTTCATAAAGACTGGGAGAGTTAGGCTCAACATCAGCTTCTATATTTTAGGGTTTTGGGGGGTGTTTTTTGGACTGGCAAAGAAATATGAAAATATATAATAGTACATAGCTTGCATTTTACAATTGATGACTGTTCTGGACTTTATGTGGTGACACCTTCTTTTGCCTCAAGAACATAAAGCATTTCCTCTGTTAGTATATACACTGTCCTCACAGTGGGAAAGAGGCAGTGCCTGGTGCATAATAAATGTGGAGCAAATATTTGAATAGATTCAATGAATGAAAGAATGAACTAACAAACAAGCTTTGGAAGAATAAATACATTGCTGTTTTTACTTCAGAATAAAACAGATCTCTCAAACAAAATAATTTTTCACAAAGCATCTCCTTTGTTAAGGAAATATTTCTTAAAAACATTTTTTGTTGTCTGGTGACTGGCCAGGGCTAGTCTATTAGTCTGGTCTGTGTGTGGGACACCCCTCCAGGACCATGAAGTCCAGACTTCACCATGACACAGGGGTTTCCAGTGTGACTAGAGCTCATTGCCAAGTTGGCCCTGTGAGTTCCCACAGTGTCATATTCCTTAAAACACTATTAAAATAGACTTTAAGAATTTGTTTTTAAGCTTGGGGGGGGGGTTGGTTTTTGCCTAAAACTCTTCCCTGTTTCATGCCATTGTCCTTTGTATTAAGTTAAAGGGACTGTTCCAAAATATTAATCACCTCCGTCCAAAAGCATTGGAAATGCTTGTGCTTCATAGAGATATGGCCAAGTCTGAGAAGTCAACACAACTCCAAGTGCTTAAAATGAAATATTTTCTTCTCACAGAAAGTAATGTTTTACCTGAAATATCCAGATGATTTTATTAAATCAGTACTTCCTCTTGACCACACCATAGTCAACTAAGACATAGGCTAGTCTGAATCTCAAGAGTTGTTTTGAACAAACGTGTGTTTAGTGCTTAATCTATCCTAGCCTTGTGCTAGATATTATAATGTTTTAAAAAGAAGCATAGGGCATAGTGTCAGTCCATAAATACTTAATAATTCAATTACAGAGCCAAGTTTATTTATGTAGACTGTATGATATGATGGCAATATTCTCATCTATGTAATGACTATTTATGATGGTAATCCATTATAACTTCTGTAAATCTTGTACTTCCAAAGTTAGACAGTGGAGGACTGAAGTTTCACGCTCACTCCTGACACCTCTTTGACACTGCAGGATATATCTTTGACTTCTGCCTGTCACAGTGCTTGAGATGGATGGGTGATTTCTGCATAATTGCTTGTGATTTACATTTTGAAGCATGCTTTAATTATCATTCCATCTGTGTGTTTGTCAGAAATATTGCTTTGGACCAAGATTAATAGTGATTTATTTGTTTTTTAAGGGGCTGCAGTCTTGCAGTGATATCTGGAATACTCTATGGATCAACATTTGTGCCAATCATTTATATCAAGGACCACAGCAAAAGAAATGATAGTATATATGCAGGAGCAAGCCAGTATGGTGAGAGTAAAAAGTTAATTACTTTATAAATAAACTCAATACTTGTTTTTCTACTTAAGAATCTAAAAAGAATGTGATTGTAGTAAATCCTGGTATATAGATTTGATCTTACTTTTCCATTGTAAGTGGTGTATTAGAAAGTCACTGAAGGCTAAAATAAAGGACTGTTTGAGTATTTTCCTGTGATCTTTAATATACAAATATAATCAACTTTAGTCAGAATTCATTTCAGCCGCTTGGATCTTAACACATGCTTTCCAGCTTTACAGTCAGATTTGGAGATTATTTTCCAGTTAGATGATCTCTGGGAAAATATGTATTATTCTCCTCTTTTACAAAAAGCTAAAGTGTAGTACATTGTACTTTAAAATCAGGTAAACGTCAAAGTATAGCATTCGTAAAGATCAAAGTATAGCCTATTCAGTCAAAAGATATTATTTTTCAAGCTACTGAGCAGTGCATTGAAAAGCCCAACATAATGCTTCCTAATTATCTCAGTTTCTAGTGATAGAATTAATTTCTCAGGCATAAACTCAACACTGTGTGCAATAGCCTTGTACAGGCTCAAAAGGAGATGAAAGATTGTCTACTCAAGGATCCTGTAATTATGTTGAAACATGGCTTACACCAATGAAATGATACAAGAATGAGATCATGGAAAATAAAGTTCCAAATTGGATGGTGCAGAAAATTAGTGTGATCTATGTTCAGATAAGAAAGTAGTTTGGAGGGCAAAAGTCATGAGGGAAAGATTGATGAAGAAGCTGGGATTTGAACTTGACTTTAAATGAGTGAATAGACTTTGAGTAGATACCGTAGTTTCTTTCTTCCTTTTGATATTCAGCCCCACGAACAGTACTCAAAACCTTTTATTAACTTCTGTCTTTTTTTAAGGTTTTATACAAGTACTTTTTGTATTTTTATTTTTTTCATTTTTAAAAGATAAAAACCAAAATAAAGCACAGGATAAATTAAAAGAGAAGGAAAAACAAGAGTTAAAAATAAAACAGAACCAGGAATGAGTCTAAAAATTGTACCACTTGCTAGAAATTAGCCATATATTTGTCTCTAAGATTTCTTATAGCCACAGAGGAAATCAGATCAGTCCCACAATTCAGCTAACACAAGATAAAAACAACTAATTGTTTTAGAGTACAGCTGTTCTTGGTACTAGGACATAATAAACAATGTCTTCAACAATCTCCTAACATAAATCGGACAGTCAGTGCTTAGGGATCTTTCTTATGACAACTCAAATGTAGTTTGATAGGAAGACACTTTATTTCAATTTATTCAAAAATAATTCTAAGGGGGCATAATTTTTTATTTCATTTATTTAACAAAATGTGAGTAGTACGTGCTCTTTGCTAGGCACCATTCTAATCACGTTACAATACTGATTCAGTTGACCCTCATAGCAACCTTGCTGGTTCGATACCATTATTATCCTTGTTTTTCATTGAGAAAGTTAAGACAGAAAAAGATTAGATAATATGACCAAGTCTCAAAATTAGCAAGGAGTGGATTGTGGATTCCCACCCAGGTGGTCTGTGCTTTTGTTTGCTATGTTATGCTGCCTTTTGTGGTGGTCCATAGATGGATACGTGGTTCTTATGAGATTCAGAAGTAGGATTTAAGATTTTAGAAGAATAAACAAACTCTTTGATCATCAAGCTTTCCTCCCTAAACCTGGCCAGTCACCTTTGTCAAAATTTTAGGTGAGAGAAACACCGAATCCAATGTGGCCTTCCCAGCCAAGAACCTGTAGTATACCCATCGGTATGGCCAAAGTACTACCTGCTTAAACAGTCAGTGGAGTTGGGGTTTCTCAGAATTTAGGCCACCATCATGTGTTATTAGCTCCTCTATGTAATTAGATTTATTGTAAACAATTGAATAAAACCCTTTGGAATAACTTTCTGAATATCCATCAGTATAGCTGACATCTGCAATGGAGATGCTGGTCTCCAGATTGATTAACAGAATATATAAAATTAGCACTCCCAAAAGTTTTTCACACACACTCCCCACTACAGCCTACTTGGAGATCTGCTACAATTGTTATAACTCTTAGTAAAATTAGATCTGAATACCTATTCTTAAAAAGGAGATGTTAACATTATATTCACATAATGTTTGTTGTTTCTTATTTAGCTTCCAAGATAATCGTGAAAACCAGCCTTTTAGATTTGATTACAGTAACTAATTTACTAGTTAATATTTCTAGGTTTTAAATATGTTAATTAAAATTCTATATAAACAGGGGCCGGCCAGATGGCGTAGCAGTTAAGTTCGAGTGCTCTGCTTTAGCAGCCCAGGGTTCACAGGTTCGGATCCCAAGCATGGACCTACGCACCATGCTGTGGCGGCATTCCATATACAAAACAGAGGAAGATGGGCACAGATGTTAGCTCAGGGCTAATCTTCATCAGCAAAAAGAGGAAGACTGGCAACGGATGTTAGCTCAGGGCCAATCTTCTTCACCAAAAAAAAAAAAAATTCTATATAATTCTATATAAACAGTATGTAGAAAACTAGGATGATAAAATATAATTAATAGTTCCTTTACTTTTAAGGTTAATTTGGTGAGTTGCTTTTAGAACTTTAAATCTATTTGAAATGACTAAAAGGATACACTTGACAGTTTTATAATCTGTATTTTCAGATTTAGACTATATTTTTGCACACTTCAGCGGCATCTTTCTTGCAAGCACAGTCTACTTTCTGGCCTACTGTATAGCCATGAAAAATAATCCTAAACTATATCCTGAAGCAATCTTGCCAGGTAAGAGTATGTACTACAGAAAATCTTTTTACTCTGTGGCAGTATCATTCTCTACCCATTTAACTTGAATAATAGTTTTCTGGAAACCAAGCCATCCTCTGTGTGTGTCTGTGTGTGTGTGTCTTGTGTGTGTGTGTCTGTGTGTGCGTGTATTCATTCTCTTAATTGCTTTGACCCACTGCAGCACCAAACATGAGGGATTGAAAAACCATGAAACTGGATATGAAATGCCAGTCATTATTACAGAACGTAAAACTTGAACAATGAATCTAAGATCGTTTCCTATGCCAAAACATCTTATGTATTGACCACAGCCTTTATTATTTCTTCTTCACTATCTAAGGATTCATATTAAAAGTTATAGTCCTGTGACTCTATTTAAAAAAAAAAAAAAGTATCAACAAATAGGAATCTGTAGTCACTTGGGAAACAAACACTTTCTCCAAAAAGTAAGGATGAATTGTTTTAGAGCTCAAAGCAGGTATATGTTAAATGCACACGCTTTTGGACTTAATCCATTAGGCATTGATGGTAAAAATACAGATATATAATTTCTCACTTATTTAGAAGGTTGCTGTAATTCAATTGGGAATTTAGGTCCACAAGTAAAATTTTTTAAAGAGCAAAATAAAAGCATATGTCGGAGGTTCATTTTGAGTGCCTGATTCATATAAGCCAAAGTGCGCCACTATACCATTATAGAAAATGGTAGAGTATTTACTGAATGCCTAGCTAAAGTACCCTGAAGATTTTAGCTGATATTTTCATTCAAATTCTAGGAGGTTTTGCCTTAGCCATAAGCATCATTCTGAATTTCACACATTTTTATGTTCATGATTTAGAGTAAATGGTGTTTGCAGAGCACATTCAGATCCAGTATCTTCCCTACGCCCCTCTCCACTATGCAATCTTTACTTCAATTACTACTATGGGTACTTTATTTACTGTCAATAAAGTGAAAGGATTGATAATTATACCCACAGCAGTCAAGAGCAGAGAAATCATTTGGTTTCCAAAATGATCACAAAACACAGCTCAAAAATGCGTGTTGACCAACAATGTAGATAGGAATGCGTTAATATGTGTACTTGAATATTTCTGCTGTATCTAGAGTGTGAATTTTTCAGGAGAGGCACGTGGTGTGTAAATGTGTGATGTCTGTGTGTGTTTCAGGATTCCTGTCAGGAGTACTTTGGGCGGTGGCTGCCTGCTGTTGGTTCATAGCTAATCACTCCCTCAGTGCTGTGGTCAGTTTTCCAATAATCACTGCTGTAAGTAGCTGAAATGTTTTTCCAAATTTTTGTTTTCCAAATGTAAATCTAATTTTTCTGAAGCATTCTTAGTGAATCACTAAAGACTGTCATGGAGTTTGTTTTTTTAAGGAATACAATTAATATAATAGATTTATGTAGATAAACTGACACCCTCTAATCTCATGTCCGTGATTGTAAGGGAACATTGCTAACCTGATTTTAGCAGGTTTATTAATCTTTAATATCCTTGCGGTTTTTGTTTGGTCATTTTACCTAATGTCATTTTGGATACATTATAGTTTGCTATTTATAACAATTTCATCTCTATATGACAGTTTATAAATATAAAAATACTTTTGTGAACTGGACTGTGGTTACCAGGGGCAGTGGGGGTGGGGGGTGGGCACAAGGGGTGAAGGGAGTCATATATATGGTGATGGACAAACAAAAATGTACAACCCAAAATTTCACAATGTTAGAAACCATTAAAATATCAATTAAAAAAAATACTTTTGTGTATATTATCACACTTGAATCTCATGACAACCTTGTGAGACAGAAAGTACTTCAGCCTCCTCTTCATATGGTACTTCAGTATTTTTAAGGAGGGCTTTCAGAAAGTGCTAAAGCAGAGTATTGTCTCCACACGATGCCATTTATGGTGGCATACATAGTACAATTTGCTTCATCTGATTTTTTAGGTGTCAATTATGTAGCACATAGGTAGGTAATATAAAACAAAAATGTTTCCTTTGATGCAGGCAGGACAAGTATTGATAGGACTGTCCCCATTTTGAAGATGAGAAGAGGCGATAGTTAAGAGCATTGTCTGAGGTGACATGGCTAGTGGAAATCTCAAAGCTTCTAAGTACAGAGCTTCCAGGACACAGGGCTACTTTCTGCCAGCAGTATAGAATCCAATTTAGAGTTTGTTTCAGGTTCGTTATGGCACCAGGACTGACATATACACACAGGAACTTATTACTTTAATGTTGGGCTCTTGTGTCTACACTAGATATCTTAGATTGCTGACCAGCTGTTCACCTGCACCCACTGCTTCCTAAATCATCATCATCAACAAAATTTGCCTAAGACATTTTAGTAGCACACCTCTGCAAACCTAGAAAACTGACTTTTTTAAACACATTGTCTAGTCTAAATCACATTGCATCAAAGTTTGAAACATCCTTAAGTTTTAATATAAATTTGGGGTTTCAAACAGTATTTTTTTTTTTTTTTTTTTTTTGGTGAGGAAGCTTGACCCTGAGCTAACATCTGTTGCAAATCCTCCTCTTTTTTGCTTGAGGAGGATTGTCACTGAGCTAACATCTGTGCCAGTCCTCCTCCATTTTGTATGTGGGATGCCACCACAGCATGACCTGACGAGCAGTGTATAGGTCTGTGCCCAGGATCCAAACCCACGAAACCCAGGCCGCCAAAGCAGAGCACGTGAACTTAACCACTATGCCACTGGGCTGGCCCCGCAAATAGTATATTTTTTGATGATTCCACTGTGTCCATAAAATAGTTAGCCTTAAAGAACAACTAAATTCAAATAATAAAAGTTTTTTTTTTTTAATTTAAAGAGCCCACATTTTGACATTCTTAATCCCTGCTGAGGGAAAATGTTATCAAAATTGAGCAAATTATAAGGAATTATTTTAGGTTTAAGTCCTTGTCACTGGAATGGCAGAGGACCCAAATTCTTTCCAAAAAGGGTTTTTTCTCATTATTTCAAGGATATTTAATGCTAGAAGTGACCATATAACACTGGAAAATATAATGGAGAGTGGAATATAAAGCTTACCAGTCAAATGCTTAAAAGTACATTTGTAGAGAAAAGTTTATAGTATGATATGCTCCTCAACTAGGGATGCAAATGTTATTTGACATTAATATCCCACTACATAAGGAAGAATAATATTTATTAAAATAGATCAAGTCATTAATCACATTAAATTTAAACTTTGTCATATGTTAGTGATTTTGTCTTTTAATCAAGTTATATTCTTGAACAAATGTGGGTTCTCCATAAAGGGCTTATAGTAATTTTATATAAAATACACGGATACAATTAAGTCATACAAAACAAATAGAAATGCAAACACAGAAAATCAAAGCTATGATAAAAATGAGAAAGGAAGCAAGCAGCACCAAGCTTAAACAGTTCACTGATTAAACATTAAGTTTTGCTTTGTGCTTACAAAAGGGGGTAATACAATGGGGTAGCTAATTCTCTTTAACTGGTAACATATTACTTCCTCAGAAAAGACCAATTATTTTCTAGCACTAAATTCACTAATAATAGAATTTATCTATTTTTTTTTAATCATATGGAGCCTTTTACAGGGACATTGAACAATAAATAATATTCTTCACAAAAATTTTATTGTAGACAGAGATACAGTTATCCTACCACTGTTTCTTGTATTAAATTATGGTAAAGACTCAGGACAAAACATTAAAGCTTAATTCAGTGGAAATAAATTGCTAAGGCATGTGGAGTGTGGGCAGAGGGTCGGTAAGAGTGGTTGCTGTGGTTTTGGAGACTTGCCCGTGAGAAGGATTATTCTCAAACCACTGTGATGTAAGCCAAGTCTTCTCACCCACCAGGTGTAGATTCCTCTGGTGCTTGGAGATTGTTACCTGGGAGGGACAGGTATTTCTGGGAGGTGAGGGAATAGGTCTTCATTGCTACTAGGTTCTTGCTTGGTTTCACTTTTGTTACTCTAGTCAAGGACAAACTTAGTCACATGCAGAAAAGATTTAGTCCCTACCTTCAAGGATCTTGCATTCTTCTTTATCTTATTTTCTTGACAGAATTAGATTTTTTTAACTTTAACTTTTTTTAATGGAAAATTTCAAACATACCCATCACCCAGCTTTAACAATTATGAATATGGTCAATCTTATTTTATTGAAAGAGTACATGTTTCAAATCCCAGCAGCGTTGTCCTTCCCAGGTGCATAAATTTCCATTGTTCCACATCCATTGGAGACTAGACTGTGAGTTCCTTGAAAGCAGCATCTATATTTATTGGCAAATAACAATCAATTAGAAATCAAAAAAGAAGAAAAGAAAAACTCACATAGCAGGAGAAAGGGCTTGTTACCTCTGTCCAAGTCTTCCCTGATAAGTCTAAAAGCCTAATCAGCTTATCCAGAAGCTTCAGCTCCTCTAGATGGCTCAAGCTTACCATTTTCTTTTCTTTTTTTTTTTTTTTTTGTGAGGAAGATCAGCCCTGAGCTAACATCCATGCCAATCCTCCTCTTTTTGCTGAGGAAGACTGGCCCTGAGCTAACATCCGTGCCCATCTTCCTCCACTTTATATGAGACACTGCCACAGCATGGCTTGATAAGCGGTGTGTTGGTGGGCACCCGGGATCCAAACCCGGGCTGCCAGCAGCGGAGTGCGCGCACCTAACCGCTTCGCCATGGGGCCGGCCCCAGACCGGCCCCCGCAAGCTTACCTTATTTTCAAAGGCTGATTTACAAATGTGTTATTTGTATTAATTTACAAAAGGAAAATATACAATCCCAATTGCCAAAACAGCTGTCACTCTTATCTAAAATATTCCTCCTCTTTGGCTCTCCTTTGCCTGAATTGAAGAGTCTGTACACACTTTGACTTATGCTTGCATTGCTTTTAGCCAAGCACCACTTCCTATAAACACATTATTCTTCACACTAACCCTTAGGCCATGTCTAAACTAACATTTAGAAAATCACCAGTTAAAAAGCCTTAATGGTCAATGATAAGTTTTGGTATTGTCTTCTACCATGTTCTCTGAAGAGAAATAAATTTCTAGATTAAAGAGGATAAAATTCTTGAGCAATTGGCATGATAACATTAATATTATATCCTCCTTTCTATTGTTTCCACCTGTCCTGTGCAAAGTCAGTAAGGAATTGCCTAGAGGACCCAGATGCTTCTTGTTTGGTTTGAATTTGGAGGCTTAGGACCTTACGTCATTGATAAAACACAGTTCCTTTGACCTATTTCTCTGGCTCTTTTGATATTGACTTTTCCAGATGCTGAAAAACAGAGAGTAATGTATTTTTGTTACTTCACTTACATACCAGGATTGGGTCAAACTTTGTTGACCCAGCCATTTAGATAGTTGGAATAGTGGAAGGGGAAAAAAACATGTTGGAATTGTTTATTTGAAACTCTTCCAGAGTTTGTGCAGGACTTGAAAAGGAATCACAAAAATGCTGATACAATACACTTTCTCCACAAAGACCACTATTAATCCAAATACCAGTTTTTTCCCTTCTCAGCTAAAAAAATTAACAAACTTTAATAGCTTCAAGTTTTCAGATTGCAAAATCATCTTTTTTTTCTATCTGATTTCTCCTCATTTCTTTTGTCCTATGTTATTTCATTACTGTCTTTGTCTCCTGCTACTAAGCCATTGTTTATTTTTCCTTACATGGTTTTTCTATCTTCCTATAAAACTATTTTTAGCATTTGTTAGAGTTTAGTTAGTTTAGTTAGTTTAGTATCAGTTAAAAATTTTTTTTAAAGTGCATGCTACTTCCATAAGCACATTATTTGTCAGGCCCAAAAGAACGTACTAAAATTTCTTCAGTTATGGGATTATCTCATGCCAAAGTTATAAATTTGCACTTTTTCCTATTAATCCCATTTCCAGTATCCTAAGGAACTAGTTCACTAGAAAAAATGAACTATTTGCTTATCAAAATATTTTTTTATAAATAGATCACACTAAAGAAAAGCATTATATGGCACAAAATATAGAATCATCAAAATAACAAAAATGAAAACCATAAAGAAAAAAAGTCTTCACTTCTTACCTAATGCTACTCAGTTTAACTTAATGTTGAGTTAGGACTGAGATGATGAATAGTTTTCCTTGACAATATTGTTATATTGTTTTTATAATAGAAAGTTATTTGATTAAAGTGTCAGGTCAGCTCTCTGATTTACTATATTTATGTAGAGTGCAGTCACAGAAAAATAACCAATTTAATTAAAGTTCTTATTTTTATTTAAGGGTCCAGGATTTATAGCTGCAATGTGGGGTGTCTTCATGTTTAAGGAAATACAGGTATGTACAAGAAAGGACAAATTTAGAAAACAGGTGTAGATCCAGATAAGAAGGGTATATAATACTATATTTGTGTTATTTTCTGAAAACTGCATGTGACTCCTAAGTCCAGGGCAGAAAACACATGAATGGAGGTGACAGATCAGATGTTCAAAATGGTGTCATCCCTAACTAGGAGAAAAAACACTAAAGATATGATAATTATTAGGAAACATATTTCTCTCCACCCCACTGCCAGTGGAAAAATGCTTTAGTTGGTTTTCTTTTCCCATAAGAGTTTTTGGTTAAATGACCCAGTGAAATGAGATAGAGGAAAATTTTATTTAGTGTAAAATATGGTAGACAATCAAGATGAAAGGTTTTTTATCTCAAAGATTAAAATATCCCTGAGGCAGATGGAATTTGGGAATAGATTTTTCCATTGGTTCTCATGTCTCCCAAAGGCCTCCATATCAAACTAGCAACTTTATAGAAAAACAGTTATGATAGCAGGTGACTACTACCCCTTCCTTTTCAAGTGTAGATGATGGTGATTTAAAATTGCACTCATCAAATAGTTCTAGGATGTGTGTTTGTGTGTGTGTGTGTGTGTATTTTCATTAAAAATTGTTTTAGAATTTTTCCATTTACCTCTATTTGTGGAAAAAGTCTTCAGTTGAGGAATACGTGTGCATAGTATTTTGTAATCGTTTTTACTAAAAACAATATAAATCCAGAGACACTCTGTCAAGGCAGCATAGACATAATATTTTCTGTCTTAATATGCAGCTGCAATAACAAATAATTCCTGGTTCTAAGAAGATCTGATGGTGCTAATTTCTGGGAACCATAAAGTGAACTGTTTCCCTGGCTAATTCTTAAAATGATTCTTTGGTTTTAGATTTAAAACATCATTTCCTTCATTCTAAATGAAATGTTTTGATTTAGAAATCAATAATAATAATAATTTGATAATACAAGTCAGATTCTTAGATTAAATAAATAAATTTGTTTAGAAGATATTTGGATCATGATCTTAATTTTTGTTTTTTTAAATACACAAGACAACTTAAAACAGTTATAAACCCATAAGTTACTTTCATGCACATGTTTCTCATTTATTTTAGATAGGGTTGCTTTCCACAAATAATAATTTTATGCCCAAAACACATTGTAAATCTCCTGGCAAATACCTCATCTGCCTCACAAAGGATAATAATTTCTATTTAAGATTGGGTTTGTCCAGTATAACATGCTGAAGCCTTAGAAAAAACCAGTAAATGACCATAGCTTATTTGCAATTATAGGTATAAAGAAGCACAAACTAAGAATAGATTTATTATAAAGCATTTAGTAATAACAATACTGAATTAAAAATCGTCTTCCCTAGGTACAAGAACTCCCTTGAGAGAAAGAATCCCTCAACATTGAGCATAGTGTTAACTACTCAGAGTCCTCTAAAAAGATGCTAAAGGACATTCAAAAAGTTTTTTTTAAGACATCTTTAAAAAGACAGCACAGACCAAGTAGAGGAGGAGCTTTTAGGAATGATAAGCCATCACCAAGTGGGATGTAATTCAAGAATGCAAAGATGGTTCATAATATGCAAATTAATTAATGTAATTTATTATATATTAGATAAACAGAGAAAAACTATGTGATACTATATATTCAAAAGGCATTTATTAAAATGAAAAATCAGTTTTTAATTAAGAAAACAACCTCTTAGTAAAGCTACAAATAGGAGGAAGCTTTGATACAAAATGGCTATCAGAAAACAAATACATAACTAAAGTGAAACTTAAGAGTTCTCTATCAATTATACCTCAATAAAGCTGAAAAAAAAAGTTCTCTATAATTTGGAAGTCAAAGATTTTTCCATCACTGCTATTATTCAGTATTTTCTGGAGATCCTAGCCAGCGTGTTAAGATAAAATTAAGAATAAGAGGAATAGATACAGGAAAGAAAATAAGAAAATTGTCATTTGCATATCACATTATTGTCTTTAAAAATTTAAGAGAATCAGCTGAAAATCTTAAGATCCAATAAGATCATTTAGTAAAATGCTGAAATATAAAATAAATATGGAATCAATCGCTTTCCAATATGCCACCAATAACGAATTAAAAAGAGAAAAATAAATGCTATTAATACCTATGAAAATTATAAAAATATAAGAAAATAATTAAGAAGAAATGTGCTAGATTTATAAAACCTTTTACTTTACTACCACCGTTTACCATAGGACATAAAAGAATATCAGAACAGATGAGGAAACTCACCATATTCCTGATGGAACAACTCACGATTATTACTAGGCAGTTCTCTCCAGTTACATTCAGTGAGATTCCTATGAAATCCCAGTGGTTTTCTATCTGGAATTTTGACAGCGAGTGCTCAAGTATGGCCAAGTATGTATGTAAAAATAAAGAGAGGGAGGGCCAAGCTGAAAGCAAAGAGTGAGTTTTATTGACCTTTCTAGAGTTAAAAAAGACCTTACAAATCTGTCTACAAACAAAACTTAAGGAGCGTCCAGCGATACTTATTCAATGCAGGTACCTGATTACCCCTCAACAGCTTATTTAAAAGAAAGTTTTAAATATTTTACATGCCAACTAGTTTAAGAGTTATCGACTAAACACTGAAACCAAAATCCTATCAGAATTCTTTTTTTAATGATTTTTCTTAGAAACAAGATAAAACGCTAGAGGAAAACGTTTATCTTTATGACTTTTAGGTCTTCTTGGTTGTGTCTTGAAGCAATCTTCAAAGACGCATAAGAGACACGAAGTCTGCAACCTCTAGCAGTAGGAACTTAATCTGAGATCCAAGCACATTTTTGTGTGAGTTTAATGATTTTATTTAGTTTTAATACCATCAGCGCTCCAGTTGGATGCTTTGCACTTCTGATGACCTTTTGTATCTGGTGTCTGTTCCTCTTTGGGAAGTTTGTTTTAGAATTTTATATTTGGCTATTTTAAGCTAGATATCCATTGTATTTTTAGCAATACACTTAGTCAATATGTCTACGGTAATACCAACACACAGGATTATTACCACAACAATTTATAGGTCAGTAGCTACTCCCAGATAAAGAATGAGATGATTTGTTATTTTAGTAGCTGCTTCAAAAATCCAAGTTAAAAATTTTTGCTTTGGGGAGAATGTTAGCGTGATCTTTCTAAGAGTTAACGTTGACCTTTGACAAAGGAAAACTTTTGCTATTGCCCAAATATAATAGATCTTTTTCTCTGGGAGAGTAGGCAGTTTGGGCAGATTCTTAACCTTAAAGAGGAAAAATATTTTACTCCCTGAGAACATTATTCTTATGTCTACATAGACAATACAACAGAGAACTCAGCAAAGTATTCACATAATTAGACTGTAAGGTGCGGATAATTGAGGCCCCATATATTTTTTCTTATTTCAGCGATGTCATCAATTGTATAATTCACAAAGTACATTTGGAAATCAGCTGAGTGTATTCATTCTTTGAACAAATATGTATTGAGTGTCTACTCTGCACCAATACTGGTGTCTAGGTAAGGTTGCAGTCTTTAAAACTAGGGAAAAGATGTCAAGGAACCTTAAAACCTTATTGCAGGTGTGTGTGTGTGTGTGTGTGTGTGTGTAAATAAGCTGCTCTGTACTTGGCAAGGCTTTGTAGTCTATCCTTCACTTGTAGAACTTGCAGTAGTGACTTCTGGTGGTGTCAATGCTCACAGTGAATCAAATAATTCAACTGGCCCCAACCTAATTAACCCACTCTAACTCAATCCTTTATTAACTTGAAAAAAGGGGATATACATTTTTTGGTGTTTTGGCTATGTGTTAATTGGCATCACTCCTAATAAGAGCTAATGATAGTATTATATGATTTGACTCCCAGGAGATCTCAATGTAATTTTAGACCATATATCTGAAATTAGAGAGGTGCTAGTCCTCTTTTACTTGATGATATTTAAAACTTTCCTTAGAGTATTGGGGTCTATATTTAAAAGGGGATGTAGACAAGCTGGCAGTCATTCACAGGGGAACAGCTAGGACACTGAGGCAGCTTGAAACCATTCCATATGAAAAATGATCAAAGGAGCTAAAATATTGACTAGGAAAAAAGATGTTTCTGGGGTATAAGACAGTTATTTTCAATGTTTGAGGGTTTATCCTGTGGGAGAGAGATTAGAATTGATCTATCTGTACCCCTAAAGACAGAACTTGCAGGAAATAAAATATCTCTGCGTAACATGTCTAAGGACGGGCTGGCTACATTGGGAAGTGGTTCTCAGTATTTCCCATCTTTAGGACCAGTGCACCCATACATAGCTGGACAAGTCAAACCTAGTCTCTGTTTCTTCCTCGCCCTTTAGATCGATCTCTGTCTCTCCATCTGCACTTCATCATCTCTCCCCAGGACTGTAGTCACCTCCTTACTCGTCTGCTTGCCTCCATTCTGGCCCCCTCCAATCTTCACCATCTGCAGAAAAGTGTGGGTTTTATGAAATGCAAATCCTATCGCCTCACTTCATCCAGCTGTGCCCTTTCCTTTACTGTCTTCCCATTGCTTGGAAAAATAAAACTCAAAAGTATAACCTATGGGCCGGCCCCGTGGCGTAGCGGTTAAGCGTGCGCGCTCCACTGCTGGCAGCCTGGGTTCGGATCCTGAGCACGTACTGATGCACCACTTGTCAGGCCATGCCGTGGCAGCGTCCCATATAAAGTGGAGGAAGATGGGTACAGATGTTTGCCCAGGGCCAGTTTTCCTCAGCAAAAAGAGGAGGACCAGCATGGATGTTAGCTCAGAGCTGATCTTCCTAACCAAAAAAAAAAAAGTATAATCTATGGCCTCTAGGCTTAGTATGGCCTATGAGATCCCTGTGTGCTTCGGCCCATAGCCCACCAACCTCATCTTGCTCCATTTACCTCTCATTGCCCTGGTCACACTGACCTTTCAGTCCCTGGCAAGTATCATGCTTTCTCTTACCACAGAGCTTTGTACGTAAAATGTTTTCTACCTGCAATCTCTCCCTGCTGCCCTCTTTCTCTGCCGACTTCATTAATACTTATAGTCAGAAGCTCAACTCCCCACCCTCTAAAACAGCCTTGTTAAGATTCCTTTGCAACACACTCAGCAACAACCATGGTTGTTTTCTTATTAACACTCCTCTTACTTTGTAACATTCTTTTCTGTGATGCTTTTATTAATTCCTGCCTCTCATATTATACAGTTAGCTGAATAAGGGCACGTTTTGCTCCCCATTTTAACCCAGCACATGTTGATGCATAGTGGGAGCCCACAAGTATTTACTGAATGGGTGAATTAGTAATGTTCTTGTGGATTTTCAAGAGAATCTGAGTTGATTACTTGGAGGGATAGCAAAAAGCATACAGGTGGCTACGGCAGATGATTAGTCAAGTCCCTAGCAATCTTGAGTCTCTACTTTTTGTATATTTGATTCAGGTTTTATTAATTACTGTTATTCTTTTTTATTATTCAGGGTCTACAAAACTACCTATTAATGATTCTTGCATTTTGCATCATCTTGGCTGGAGCATTGTGCACTGCTTTTTCCAAAATCTAAGAATCACACGACCAGCAGATGGCAGCAGTGGTTAAGAGAACGCCTTCACTGGACACGGGACAGATTATGCTGAGAACAGAATTTGTTTCCATACAGCAAATGGATCTCAGCCTGTCTTGGAGTGGGTAAATGATTTTTTTTTCACAAATGTGAAAATAAAGGAAAATTGAGTTTTAGTCAAGTATAAAAATGAAAAATTCTTCTAATGAACTATTTATGAAGGTATGACTTTACTGGGTGACTAAAATGTTTACATTTGTATAGCATTACATCTGAGGGTGCTCCTTCTACCACAATATGTACTTAGTGTTGCATAATCTAGAAAACAGGGTGGAGTTCACAGACAAAGAATTCTGTGTATGTCCAAATTTCCAACAAATTACCCTTATTAATGAAGAGAGGCAGAAAAATGGGGGCGGGAGGAGGGGAGAGAAGACTTACCTTGTAATAGAATTAGATTCCAAAGATGTCCAGATCCTTTGCTAGAAAAGCAAATGTCAGAGTTGGTAACTGAATGTTAAAAAGGCCATTTCATTATTTTTAGCCCAGACTTATTTTTACTTCAAATTAATGTTGCCTAACCTTACATCACCTGCCCATCTTAGCTCAAAATGCTTTTGATTATCTCCAGATAAAATCTATCCACAGAGAACAAAAATGTGCTACCATTGAGAATATGTGTATAATACATACACATACATACACAAGTACACACACACGTAAATACACACACGTATAGGTATGTACTAGTCCATATTTGGGGGAAATCCTAGAGTGGCTGAAATGAGGTTCTAGCTTATTAGAGTGAGAAATTAAAGGGACCAGACACTCCTTTGGATGTACAGTTTATTATTTTTTTTCTGAAATATGCTTTTTTAACAATCCCTCTTTTAACTGGAGGTTTTCTTCCTGTTTTTGCTGATGGTTTCCAGTAGGCAAAAGAAAATGACAGACACGCTGGTTTCATTTCTTTAAGAAAACTGAAATAGAACTGCTAGTACAATGTTAATCACAATGGTTCCCAAACTCAAAATGATAGAACCCCTAGTGCAATGTAAATTTCACCCAGTGCCACCCGATAGTATGTTACTTGGCTGTGCGGGAGAGACAGAATAACATTCTGCTTAAGTGTATGCATTCTGGAGCTAACCTGTATGGGTTTAAATCCCACCTCTGCTTCATCATAATTGTATGACTTTAGATGAGTCCCTGAGCCTCCTGTATCAGATTCCTCACTGTAAACTGGGGATGGTGATAATCTTTATCTCACATGGTTATTGTGAGGTTCAAATTAATTAAAATCTGTAAAGTATGTTCACGAGTGTCCAGCACTTGGCAAATATTATGTAATTCTTAGCTATTATTATCATGTGTTTAAGAAAGAAAACATGTCTGTAGATTGGAGAATACCTTGTGAGAGCTGCTACCATCGCAACCACCCCATCCAAAACAACTACTTACTGTTCTTCTATATGAATGCAATTTAAAAATAGTACCGGAGTCCCTGTTTAATTGTTGAATTGCTAATATAAATAAATATTTGATTGTAACATCTTACAAAAACTCAATTTTAATCTAAAATGTCATTAATTATGTTGATAACTTTGAATAAATTGACATGATATAAAAGCTATTTTTCTCATTTAAATATACTTTAAAATTTCATATTGATAGCAATTAATTATTCTTTAGTTGAGATTGCCAACTTATATGTAAAATTTTAAATGTGAAGTAAAGCAATTGCAGAAGAAAAATGAAAAAAAATATATTCCCACTGTATAGTTTCTGCTACCAGACAATGCCAGTAAGTGTTAGTAAGAGTGGTGTGGGAAAAAACAAGCTTTTTCAAAATGGTTACCAAACAAACAACTTACTATGTAGAGATAAGTCTAAATGAGCAATTGCCAAATCTCCACTGTCTTTGCTCACTTTAGGAAGTTAATCCCTCTCTCTCTCTCTCTCTTTCTCTCTCTCTTTCTCTCTTTCTCTTTCTCTCTCTCTCTCGGTTTTGAGGTTTTACTTTTCCTTGTCTAGCATAGCCAAATTCTTGTGTTTATCTTAACTTTCTCTAGCTTGGCTTTCTGTCTCTCCTTATCTGAAACGGCACCTTATCCCTACCAAAGAGATCCTGCCATCTGTGTACAGAGACAGCATGACATTAAGCAGGGAAGTCACAGCCCAATGAGGCTGGCATCCAGATTATGGGAATTTTCTACTATTGGAACAAAAATTCCTAATGAGTTTTAAAGAATTAATAATACAGCATTTCCCCCAAGCCACCAAATTTCTTTTATTCCTGTTGTACTGATCTATTTGTACTTAAGAGTTGCTAACTACTAGACCTGTGTGTATCAGTATTAGTAAAGCTAAAAAACACATTGAGTGAAAAAGGCAAGCTGTGGAACCATGTGCACGGTATGATACCATTTAGGTCACTTTTAAAAATCAAAGTTATATATATTTTCTGCAAATGCATATATATGCAAAATATTAGAAAAACGTATATACCAAACTCATAATAATATTTGCTTCTAGTGAGGATAAATGAAGTCAGAATGGGGACGCTGGGGTCAAGGTGAAATTGAGTGATATCTATAATACTCTGATTTTTATGGCGATGAATTCATATATATGTTCTTTAATATGTGTTGAGGAATCAACAGCAAAAAATCTCAGAAGCGTATGTCTAAATGTTAAAGTAATTAAGTCTGGGTAAAGACAATATGGATGAATGTTATTTTCTTCTTTATTTTTTCTATTGAGGTTAAATTGGTTTATAACATTATGTAAATTTAAGGTGTACATCATTGTATTTCAACTTCTATATAGACTGCATCGTGTTCACCACCAAAAGTCTAGTTGCCATCCATCACCGTACACCTGTGCCCCTTTACCTCTTTCACCCTCCTCCACCGTCTTCCCTTCTGGTACCCACCAATCTGTTCTCCATATCTATTGTGTTTGTTTATCTTCTACATATGAGTGAAATCATATTATAATTGTCTTTCTCCTTCTGACTTATTTCATCTAGCTTATGCTTATGCTTATACTAACCTCAAGGTCCATCCATGTTGTCGCAAATGGCAAGATTTCATCTTTTTTACGGCTATCACATCTTTATCCATTCATCCGTTGATGGACACTTAGGTTGCTTCCACATCTTGGCTATTGTGAATAATGCTGCAGTGAACATAGGGGGGCATATATCTTTTCAAATTAGTGTTTTCATGGTCTTTGGATAAATACCCAGAAGTGGAATAGCTGGGTAATATAATATTTCCATTTTTAATTCTTTGAAGAATCTCCATACTGTTTTCCATAGTGGCTACATCAGTTAACATTCCTACCAGCACCAGTGTATGGTGGGTCCCTTTTCTTGACATCCTCTCCAACACTTGTTATTTCTTCTTTTTAGTAATACCTATTCTGACAGGCATGAGGTGATATCTCATTGTAGCTTTGATTTGCATTTCACTAATAATTAGTGATGTTGAACACCTTTTCCTGTGCCTGTTGGCCATCTATATATCTTCTTTTGAAAAATGTCTGTTCAGATCTTCTGCTCATTTTTTGATCAGATTGTTTGTTTTTTTGTTGTTGAGTTATATGAGTTCTTTATGTATGTTGGGTATTAACCCCTTATCAGATATATGATTTGCAAATATCTTCTCCCAATTTCTAGGTTCTCTTTTCATTTTGCCGTGCAGGGTCTTTTTAGTTTGATGTAGTCCCATTTTTTTATTTTTTCTTTTGTTTCCCTTGCCTGAGGAGACATATTCAAAAAGATACTGCTAAGACCAATGTCTAAGAGTGTACTGCCTGTTTTCTTTTAGGATTTTTATGGTTTCAAGTCTTACATTCAAGTCTTTAATCCATTTTGAGTTAATTTTTGTGTATGGTGTAAGGTAATGGTCTACTTTCATTCTTTTGCATGTGGCTGTCCAGTTTTCCCAACACCATTTATTGAAGAGGCTTTTCTTTCTCCATTGTACGTTCTTGGCTTCTTTGTCAAAAATCAGCTGTCCACAGATGTCTAGGTGTATTTCTGGGCTCTCAGTTCTGTTCCATTGATCGGCCAATACCATGCTGTTTTGATTACTATAGCTTTGTAGTACATTTTGAAATCAGGGAGTTTGATACCTACAGTTTTGTTCTTTTTTCTCAATATTACCTTGGCTAATCAGGGTCTTTTATTGTTCCATATAAATTTTTGGACTCTCTGTTCTATTTCCGTGAAAAATGTTTTGGGGATTCTGATTGGGATTTCATTGAATCTCTAGATCGCTTTAGGTAATATGGACCTTTTAACTGTGTTAATTCTTCCAATCCATGAGCATGGCATATTTTTCCACTTCTTTATGTCTTCTTCAATTTCTTTCAACAATGTCTTATAGTTTTCAGCATACAAGTCTTTTACCTCCTTGGTTAAATTTATTCCTAGATATTTTATTCTTTTTGTTGTGGTTATAAATGGGATTGTATTCTTTATCTCTCTTTCTGCCCTCTTCATTGTTTTTAGTACTTTTTAAAATTTCTAAACAAGTATGTACACACAAATAAAACAGACAAAGATCAAGACAAAGCTGGGAAATTTTTCAACTTAAGACTCCCACCTCTTAAAGGTAGAAGCCAGAAACTCACTTTCCTAGCCTCCCTTGCAGCTAGGATGCTGCAAACCCAATCCCTGGTCCTGCTGGAGATTCAATAAGTTACCTAATAAAGTTGTTTCAGAAATTTGGCCTCATTAAAAACAAAACAAAACATATTTCTTTTAGCCTGTTTTAATCAACTTTAATGAGGTATAATCTGCATCCAATAAAATTCACCCATTTTAAGTGGACAGTTCTATGAGCTTCAGCAAATATACACACTCATGTAATCACCACTACAGCCTACATATAGAACATTTCTAACAACCTAAAAAGTTCCCTTCTGCACCTTAGTAGTTAACCCCCCACCCCAGGCCACCAGTGATCTGTTTCCCGTCATTCTAGATTACTTTTGCTTCTTCTAAAATTTTGCGTAGTGTGTACCCTTTTGTGTCTGATTTCTTTCATCTCATAGCCATGTTTAAACAATTTTTACTTATCTAAAACAATTATAATTCATTCCCTCCTGGAAGAAAGCATATGTGTGTGTTCAAAATAACAACTAAAGCAAAAATGATTAACATTTGAATTGTTATATTTAAGTGTGTGATGTGTCATGTTCCAGAAATTCACTATGTTTTAAA